GCAACTTGGAGACGATGTAAGTCAGCTCATCGTATAGGTAAATACCAATTAGTTATTATTTCTGGATTTTCATGATAAACATAAATATGACATATTTAATTCTGATATTCTTAATACTGCTTTTGGTTCCTGTAAGAGAAAAAATTGTAGCATAATGTTTCAGGAATATTCAAATTCAAACAAGAAAGACTATAATGCATAATTTGTAAATCATATTTTGTAAATTATACCTTATTTTCTTTTACATAATACTTTAGGATGCCATCTGCCTCACTTAAAACAAATTTCCTAGAGTGATGATACCTCGCATCTTCTTTACCTCTTTTCATCACAAACCCTTTCGTCAATCCTGAGACATAATGATTTTATTTATCTACATGGCAAAATTCTTGCCTTTGATACTTAGCTCTGATCTATTGTTCTATTAAAATCCTGCCAATATTAAAACATTTTAAATATGTTGTGCTTTTCAATAAGACTACAAATGATTATGGCACTTACTGAGGTGAGTCTTGATTAGGTTTTTGATAACAAGGGGGAACTCTTTCTTCATAGTGCAATCATTGTAGCAGCATTCTCGTACTCAATTCACTTGTGAGTCTTCCCATTTATCGAGTTTTGGATGCAACTTTTGAAACAGCTGTTGAGAAATATTAATTTCTTTTTTGTTACAACCAAAAGTCCAAACTACTTTACATTATCTATACCTGAAAAAGATACATTTGTAACAATAAATATATTCTTAATTGGAATATTAGTCTTTAATTGACAAACAGAAACTGCTTACAACCCATACTGCACATCTCAGCCGAATGAATGTTTTATTTTTTCCTTAGTTGAAAATTGAAATCCATGTTATGTAGAGATGAATAAAAAAAGAAACAAGTGTGCCATGTAAGTTTTTAAAAGACACTGTTTTAAAAAATGTTTACACTTACTCAGTCAAACAGTAGTGACAGACATAAAGGCATCATGAAGGGCTTGCCAATTGGGTCGATTGAGTCCTTATTGTAATTGCAACTTCTTAACTTTCCATAGTATCCTTTTTCTAAAAAATTGCATACAGCTCAGATTGATATATGTGACAATTAAAATTGGTATCTATAAAATAATATGGATATTATGAATGAAGCTTGATCAATGTAGTATTTATATAAAATCATTTGAAAGTGGATCAAAAGTATATTTTAAGTACTTATCCAAAAAATATTCATTTCAATTATTCTAAAAACAACTAATATAACATTAAAAAAGATACTACTCACTACTTAATTATTATAGAAAATGTTTTTTCTTTGTGGGCAAAAAATTTGGTTGCTCCAAGATCCTTTCTTATTTTTGTAGGTGTAACGGAAACACATCGTCGTTTATGTATTCGTAATCTAATAGTCAAGAGAACATGCAGCAGTCAATTTGAGTATGTTTATTGGTTTATTAAAGAAAATAATAATAACTCACTTGAATGTTTAACAGATTTCTCGACAGTTAACGAGAAAATATTATACGAATGTCGAGAATACATGATACACACACTGCACGATTTTTGGTATGGCGTGCGCAGTTGCCAGATTTATACCGTTTGACCGAGTCTAAAGGTGAAGTCTCTGAAAGCCAGCTTGAAGTAGAGCTGTATTAGGAGCTCTGCTTTGGACAGGAAGGGAGGGGAGCTGAGCAGCAGTAGGTCTATAGTCGCACGAATGCCTGCTAAAACAAATGAGAGCATGTCGACTGTCAAATGTCCTAGCTTTCAGTAGCCGGCTCTGAACAAAGGCACGTATGGTCAATCTTTTTTACACACGGATGTTCTGTTTCTAAGTTGTTTAATTGACGCATGTTAACAAAATTAATTTACATTTTCTTTTCTTTAGTTTTTTCTTTGATACCAAAGATGCCGCAGTGGAAAATAGTACAATTTAAAAGTGATAAGAAGGTTTGAGCGGTGCCGCTGAATTGGATTTTTCATAATGAAAGTGAATCCACCAACGAACAAACAGACTATGAATTTTACTGCCATTGGCCAGATAACGTAAAATTTGAATTCGACTTGAAAAAGCTTGTCAAGAAAGCACGTGAGCCGAAATTAACCTGGCCAAAGCACGACGTTATAATTCACACTACAGCAGGTAAGATGTATTTTTGTTGTTGTAATGTCAATTAATTCAACCTACAATGTATTAGTGACATCTTTTATTTCCATGGTTTTATATATTTTGTTTAATCAGTTCCGTTGCTTATCAAAATAATTTATTTATAGCCGTAACTTGAAATTTAATTATAAATGGAAACAAAGATTTTGTTTTTGACATTCTTACACACCGCAAATGCGGTTTCGGTATTGGGAATAAAGAATTCCGATCGGTTATTCGCCGAGTTGCACGGATGGCTATTTCGTGAAAGAGATCGCGCGATGCCGCGTTTGTTTTAGTGTGATGTACTATACATATTTCCGGATTGTTGGAGTATTTTCTCAAATTCGACAACACTGTCTCTCTTCGTTTGTACATTCCTTTTATTTTCAACGCGCCATCGTTCATCGAATACGCACCCAGAGAAGAAACGCGTCCAGATATAGAAACATACAAATGGCACATGTTTCTTTTTTTAGTGCACGGAAAAGGTCATTCGAGCATTTGCTTTCCGCGCACTCACAATTGCTATTCGTACCAACCGATACGTTTGTTTTTTTGATTTTTTTATCTTTGTGAGGTTTGATGTGTTTTTATTTTTGTCACTACATTTTTTATCAAACAATGCTGTTAGACAAAAGGAAACATGCTTGAAAGATTTAAGGAAGAAAAAATAAAAACGCATTTTTTTACAAATTCCGTCGTATGAAAATGTATGTTTCTTTTGTACACGGTCAGGTTGAATATCAATTATATGATATTTTCGAATTGAAATAAAATACGCTTTGAAGGTAACGTGTAAATACAAAAAAATCGTTTTTCTATACCTATTATTTCTTCATGACATGAAACCGAAAAAATTATCATTAAAAAAATTTATTAACACTTGCAATGAATTCATAAAGTGAAAGAATTGAACATGATTGAAACCAATAATTTCTTGAGGGGATTTTTTTTACATCATTATTATTTCACTAATGTTTGTAACGATAAGAATTGTTTTTACAGACAATGAATGATCAAAAATTTATTAATTGAAGTATAATATTATCAATTTTAGAAAGCTTTGACGTGGCTGTTTGCTAGGAAGAATTGGCGCAGGTAGTCAGTGGAGATGAGATAGACAAGGAGTATGAAAAACATATGACTAAAAAGTCTGAAAAATGTGGACAAGACAGAAAAACTACGCCACAAAAGGGAGCTAACAAGCTCGGATAGTAGCTCTGATACATCTGAATCTGAGTCGGATACAAATCCAAAAGAAGCTGCAAAAATTGAGTATCCATCTGTACCTCAGCTTCAAACTTCTGTCAATTCTGCAAAGTCAAACAACGGTGATTCTGAAAATAGAATGCTCACTCCATCACCCCCCAAACGTTTGAAGTTTGAGCCTTCCGTGGGTATGTTCCAATAAAAGCCGTTTTTTTAAAAATAATTTTCTATATTATATTATAATTTTATACAAACTAGAAAGATAAATCTATGCAGATTGCCTTTAAAAAAGGTTTCTTTGAAAATTCAATATATAAGAGTTTAATTTTGAGGTTTGAAATGTCAGTCGATAAAGTATTTTTTACCGTAATTGAGAAAAAACGTGTGAAATTTATTTTTTTTTTATTTCAAAATATCAATATAAAATGAATGTTTTCAAACGCCTCAAAATTCTGCGAGGTTCGTAAATACCTTATTTTGAAGTTTTGGTGTCCACAAACTCATTATTTTCTTTCGTTATTGTTAAACAATCTTATGCTAAGGTCCTCCCATACCCCTATACAGATATACGAATGCATACTAGTAACGGTCATCCTTTGCGCGGTGATTAAACGTTGGCTCAGCAAATTCGAGACTTGAAAAAATTAACATTATTAGATTTTAATACGTAGTTTACGATAAAACTGCTCCAATTAATTCCATGCAGCTTTATCAGAAAAAAAATATGACCACGTAAAATCGGGTTATAAAAAAACAAAAGAGCGCTAATGTATAATTTAAACGCGAGTTTATCATTTTCTAAATTTTTCCCTGATAAAACGGCGATCAACTAGATCTGCTTTGGAGCACACTAAAATTACAATCTATTAATAATGATTTTTTCAAGTCTCAAATTTGCTTAGCCAATATTTAATTACCACGCGAAGGATGGCCGTTTTGTATATCGATGTAGGAGTATGGGGGGACCTTAATATTGTCTCTCCGTATAAGTAGTTTTACTCTGTTAGTGAAACAATTTTACTAAAAACCTTTTTATAAAATATTCTCGAGAGTGAAATTAAAACATGTAAATGTCGAAATGTCGAATTTTTCAACTGAAATGCCAATGGATTCTATAAATGCCAAAATTTCTCCCATTACATATCGAAAACATATTCCAAATAGCATGTTTTATATAACCTTCCAGAAAATTATAGTACTACTAAAAATGATCAGAAAACTGAAGTTGAGGTTAAAGAAAAAAGTGAGTATTAGTTCTATGTATGTATGTGATGTAATACACATTGTGTATACCCACACACACACACACACACACATACACACACACACTCCGCCACCGCCGGTCCCAAGCCCGGGACCCTGCTACTTAAGATGCAGGGAAGGAGGAGGGGGAGGAGTATCAACCTCGTTAAAAAACCAAGGCTCATCTGGCCCGGATGATAGCACCTTGTTAAAGGGTCCCCGTTCAGGGTAACGGACCCCCAAGCTGAAGGTGTGAAGCGACCCGTGCCGATGTAGCCTTGTTGGCTCTCGGGAGTAACAGAGAGTCTCAAACGGAGCCTTGGGAGCACCTGGCGAAACTCCCTCGTAATTAGCCTTACTCCGGCAACCGGGGCTCTGCCGGAGCGGACCGATAGTTCCCTAGGTACTCGTGGGAACAAAATGAGCAATATAACTAAACCAAATGAGAGAGAAGATATGGAGGAGCAAGCACTTGAAGCTGATAAATGCTTCAAGAGCTTAGAAAAGAAGGTCAAACAGCTAGTGCAGTTCATACTGGAGAAAAAGAACCTCCACGCTGAATTAAAGACCATGGCCAGAAGGGCAAACAGTACTATTGATGAGTACGCAAAGCTACGGTCTGCAGGTGGTACGAAGGAAAATGCCGACAAAACGGCAAAAGATAAAGAGACGCAACCGTCCCCCGAACCAGAGAAAAAGCGAAAAAAGCGGGACCCAAATTCGCCAATAGAGTCGCCAGTGGTCAAAAAGCCGAGGAAAGGGAAGAAGACACCGGCCGACGAAGCAGAAACAACCGAGCAAGAAATAAGGGCGTCGAAACCCGGAACAGAAGAGTGGGCAGAAGCCAAAAGAAGAGCCACAAAAAAGAAGAAGAATATGGAACAGCATAATGACGATAGAAGAAGAGGAAAAATCACGGAGTCAGAACACCGAAAGACCAGTCGAAGAAAACCTCGCCCAGAAGCCATTAAGATCAAGGCACTGGACGGGACGTCGTATGCCGACATTCTGAGAAAGGTCAAGGCAGCACCAAACATGAAGGAGATAGGAGAACGAGTTATGCGAATACGGCGCACCAGAGCAGGAGAGTTACTCCTTGAACTGGAGAAACCAGGGACGGCGTCTCCAAATATCGAAGAGACAGTTCTGGCTATCCTACAGAAGTCTGCAGAAGTCCAGCTGATGACCGATAAGGAAACCCTCAGGATCAAAGACATGGATGAGACAACCACACCTGAGGAAGTGATAGAAGCTGTAGCTGCAGTTATCGGACCAGAGGCAGCTGCGAGTAGCAGCATAAAAATCAGAGGACTGTACAACGGCACACAAGCGGCACATATCCAGCTCCCGGTAGCAGCGGCCAGAAAGCTACTTGAAAACGGGAAGCTGAGAATAGGATGGGTGAATTGTAGAGTTCAGCCTTTCACACCGACACAAAGATGCTACCGGTGCCTGGAGAATGGTCACATAGCAAAGGACTGCAAAAGCGATGAAGACCGCTCCAAGCAGTGTTTCAGGTGCAGAAAGGAGGGGCATAAGGCAGCAGACTGTACGGAAGCAAAGACGGAGGGACCTCACGCTAAAAATGACTAAAGTACTCCAAATCAACCTCAACCACTGTGCAGCGGCTCAAGACCTGCTGCACCAGTTGGTAAGGGAGGAAAGGGCCGACATCGTCATAGTTAGCGAAAAGTACCGTGATCTCGATGAGCCGAACTGGGTGAAAGATGCGACTGGTAGGGCGGCTGTCTGGGTATGCGGACACCTACACGTATCGGCAAGAATGATCGATCCAACCTCAAACTTTACGTGGATAGAAGTGGCTGGCATGCGTATATATAGTTGCTATCTCCCACCTAGCGAAGAGATAAGCGAGTTTAAGAAATCCTTGGATGACATTGTTACCAGCGCAATGACATCACGCCTACCGGTAGTCATCGCAGGCGATTTTAATGCATGGGCCGTAAACTGGGGAAGCGCGAGAACAAATGCTCGCGGGCATGCACTTCTAGAGGCGTTTGGAGTATTGGAGCTCGAGATAGCCAATAGAGGAACGATCCCGACCTATTCCAAGGCGGGGAAATCGTCCATAGTGGATGTTACCTTCATAGATGCCAAACTATTGACAGAGGAGCTCAACTGGAGAGTCAGCGATCGGTACACGGGCAGTGACCATCAAGCCATAACGTACCGGCTCCAGTTGACCAAACCATCGGTATCCATCAGGACAACGGAAAACAAGAGGAGATGGGCACCAAATACCTTCGACAGAGAGTCATTTCTCTACTCCCTCGAAGGAACATCAGTGTCCGGAACCGCGGAGGAAAAGCGCAGGGTCTCACACGTGCTCTGAAAACTGCATGTGATGCATCCATGGCAGCAAAAAATAACGCAAGAGGTCGACTACCGGTATATTGGTGGAACGAGGACATCGCAAGCCTGAGACATAAATGTCTCACAGCCAGAAGGCGCCATCAAAGAGAACGGAACAAGCCCAACTTCCAGGCTCTGACCGAAATAATGAGGAGCTGCGATCACTGCTCAAGGTCACCATCAAAGCAGCTAAGAGACAGTGCTGGCGAGACTTCTGCGAGGAAGTAGATAAGGACCCCTGGGGCCGGCCGTATAAAACGGTCATGCGCAAGATCAAGCCCAGGAGTGGCGCACCACCATCTTGCCCATTATTCCTCGACAGAGTAGTGCGACATCTGTTCCCAAGACATCGGGAGAGACCAGAACAAACAGGCCTAATGGAAAGAGACGATGAAACCGAGTTTACAGAAGTAACCCAAGCATAACTGATAGTAGCCGCGAAGAAAATTCGAACCCGGAAAGCGCCAGGGCCGGATGGGATACCGGGAATTGCGATCAAGACGGCAGCACTGAATGCCCCGGAAATAATTCGCGATACATTTAGTGCGTGCCTGCGAGAAGGACATTTCCCAAACTCGTGGAAGCTGCAAAGACTGGTCCTGCTATCCAAGGGAAATAAGCCTCCCGAGCAGCCTTCGTCCTACAGACCACTATGCATGTTGGACATTATAGGAAAACTGCTGGAAAGAGTAATCCATGCCAGATTGGAGGCAGTTATAGCCGAAGCGGGGGACCTGTCTGGAACCCAGTTCGGCTTCAGAAAAGGCCGTTCAACCTTAGGCGCTATTGGTCGAGTTGTGGACCTGGCCAAAGATGCCATTAGCGGACGACGGAGCGCAAGACGCATGTGCGCTGTGATCGCATTAGACATCCGAAATGCGTTCAACTCGGCAAGATGGGACATCATTATGATAGCCATGGAAGGACTGAGGGTGCCGCTGTATTTTCGTAGAGCCCTATCGAGCTACTTAAGCAACCGAATCCTGCACTATAACACCGACGATGGCACACACTCATACAACATCACGGGAGGAGTGCCGCAGGGATCGGTGCTTGGCCCCTTGCTATGGAACGTCATATATGACGGTCTAATAAGACAGCAGTTCCCAAGGGGAACAGAGATAATAGCTTTTGCCGATGATGTAGCACTAGTAGTCACTGCAAAGAGCGTTGAGGAAATAGAATATATAGGAAACGCCTCCATCGAGGTGGTGGCCCGATGGCTAAAAGAGCATGGGCTCAGTCTTGCTGCGGAAAAGACGGAAGCGGTGCTCATCTCCCGCACGAAAGCTCGGAAGTATGCCACATTCACGGTGGAAAATAAGCGAGGACAGTCGACTGACACGGTGAGGTACCTGGGAGTTATACTAGATGCGCGGCTATCGTTTAAGGAACACCTCTCGAAAACAGGTGTCAAAGCCACTAACGTTGCTAGGGCGTTGGCAGGTATCATGCCAAACGTCGGAGGGCCAAAGCAACCACGCAGAACCCTCCTATCGTCGGTCGTAAGCTCGGTAATTCTCTACGGAGCTCCTATATGGGCAGATGTGCTAAGAAATAATGCAAGCTACGGAGGGACGTGTCGAAGAGCCTGCAGAGCAGCAGCGCTACGAGTTGCCCGTGCATACCGAACTGTATCGGACATTGCAGTCTCGGTAATCGCTAGAATAGCGCCTATCGACCTACTAGCATGCGACAGAGCAGAAATATACCGTGAAGGAGGTCGTAACGAAGAGAACAATGCTGATAGACATGTCACAGCAAACGGTGGACGCAAAATTTAATGCGAGAATGGCAGAGAAAATGGGACAACGCAGTGAAAGGTCGCTGGACTCATCGCATCATCCCGAACATTGACAAGTGGACAGGCAGGCGCCACGGACACCTCACCTTCCAACTGACACAGGTGCTCACCGGTCATGGCTGCTTCCGCAGTTATCTCCAACGCATCGGTGTCTATGCGAGTGCCGAATGCCCAGCCTGTCCAGGCACTGACGAGGACGTAGAACATGTCCTATTTGTGTGTCCCCGCTTCGCTGAAGAACGGATGCATTTCCGCACGGAGTGGAATGATCCAATGAGTCCCGAAGGACTCGGAGCTTGCCTGCTCGGCTCGCCAGAGGGATGGGAAACGGTAGTGACCTTTGCCACGTCAGTGGTAAACCGGCTGACCGAAGTAAGAAAGTAGGAAGAGAGAAGACGCGACAGGTCTATCATGCATAGATAGAGCGAGGTGTCAGACTATGGGACTAAAAAGCGCTCCTAAACTACCACAGAGTAGTTGGTAGAGCGCGGTCACCCCATCCGATGCAGAGGAACGTAGGATCTGGGGTCACCTATGTCCATAGGATAACAAGGCGCCAGCCTATCCTAAGGGCTCCCCTGCCTTTGTGGGAGAGTAAAGGACATTGGGTTGAGCCCAGACTCCCTCACCCGATGCAGAGGAACGTAGGTGTCGAGGTGGAGTCTGTCCAGAGGATGACCGGACGATGCCGATAGAAGAAGACGACCGGACGATGCCGTTGGAAGAAGACGTGTAAATCGATGCCGTAAGAAGAAGACGAGGCTAACATAGCCGAAGATGATGAAGATCGAAGAAAACGACACAGCCGAAAGGTAATGAAGAAGACAAGGCTAATATAGCAGAAGCCCCCCGCGAAGTAATGCCTAGCGGCGGTTCCCGCGGGGGATACAGGCAGGACATAGAGAGATGGGAGTTTAGTGGGTATACCATGCTTAGGGATTCCCACACAGGACGAGCCGGAAGGCCGTTACGTGCAGAAAGCATTCTCCAACTCTCTTTAATAAAAAAAAAAAACACACACACACACACACACACACACACACACACATACACACACACACATACACATCATTAATACCCAAAAATATGAAATTGTAAAAAATAAATTTCACTTTACTCAATGTAGGTGAGGCATTTAGTTTAGAATATGACGAAATTGAAAAGGAATTGAATAAAAATGAAGAATTCTGTAATTTCTCGGACGAAGAGAACAAGTCATTAGATTTAGACAAGCAGGATCTCAAACGTGCTGGTGAAAATAGAATTTCTGATGTTTCTGATGATTTTAAGGATAATGATGAAAAATTAATTGAAGAATGCCAAAACCATGAAGAAGAAAGTAAATTTTTGTTACTAGATTATTAAAAAAAAATTTCAAATCAAGTTTCCGTTAAATTACTTATATTTTAGATGCTGAAGGATTTACTATTATATTATTACAAAATTTTACTCAACCAATTCTTGTACCGTCCAAATGGCAGAGCTTGGATTTGAAGTATTGCTACTGGCCTCCAGAAGGTACGGTAAATATAATCAAAGAGTACGTAGCGAAAAAAGTGGATCCTAGGATGAATTGGAGGAAAATCGATGTTCTGGAAAATTATACTTATGAAGGTATTAATATAAATTTATTTTTATTTCAAAACTAATAATAAACTTCCCCAAATTCTAGTATGGATATTCATATTTTTTTAGAAACTTACGCAAAAGGTATGAAGACTTTACTCATTGCACAAAAAGTTCATGAAAAAAAATTGAATAAGACAGTTAAACCACGTATAAAAAGTATTGTTACTGTTCCGGGAAGTCACGAAAAAAAGACTACTCCATCTCAAGCAGAATTCGACAAGCTAACTGAACGAGAATTGTTAACAGTCCTTTTTGGTAAGTAAGTTTGTTCGTCAAAGATGGTTGTATCATACTTGGAAGCAACTGACTCACGAAACATCATTTTAGATCAGTTGGAATCAGTAAATAATAAACAAAACAAAATATTGACTGAAATTCAGAATTCTCCAAACGTTTCCAATAACCACGTATCGGTTGTCAATTAAAAAATTGAAGAAATCTATGAAGACATACCCTGTAAAACTTCAGCAGAGCTCGCAAGATTAGAATCAAAATTGGATCAAGATAAAGAGTACAAGGCTGCTTTCGTGAGTAACTTAAAACTTTTATATTATAATAAATAAATGTAACATACGTTGGACGTGCAATTTTGATTTATTTTATTTTTTCGTCTTTTCATATAGAAAAAGCACATGAAGTCTTTGTCCAGTATTGGTGGCCATCACTTAATGCAGCAAATGCTCAATGCAGTCATGACAACTAGACTTATGACAGAATTCAACTTTTGTGGGAAAAAAGTACCAGACGAAAATAAGGATAAGCAAAAAGTAGCCTTGAAGGATTTATTTGTATGGCCTGTGCTAAAAAGTCGGTCTGCTTTCAAAAGTAATCCATGAAAATTTTATCTTCATAACCAATTCTAACTATAATTACAGAGGCAGCTACTGAAAAATTTTATGAAAAATATTCAGAGTCGGACGCAATAGCAAGTGCCATGGATTGGCTTAAAAATGCACCAAAAAGATTAAAGCGACTCAATAACAAAACAGCAAAGTATGTTATACAATTTTCCATTATGATGGCCGTATTTCTAAAGAACTTATATACTTTTTCCTCTAAACAGACCGAAATCTCTGAAAGATTTGTGCAAATCAGGAAAGGTATAAGAAAGTAGCAGCGACCACATGAAGATTTCGCTAATTGAATATTATTATTCGCTAATTGAATATTATTATTATTATTTATAACATTTTTCATAGCTGAATTTATTGGATGGCTGTGATAGGATCATATTGGTTAATGAAAACAGGGGTCGACATTAGGTGGTAAATGTTGTCGACATTGGAAACGGTCCTTCACTGTCACATAGTTTTTTAACATAAGAAAATAATAGCAATGAAAAGTTGATGTTGTAGGTTAGGAGGTTTTTTCGTGCAAACTTTTGTACAATATATAGCTGAATCTGCTATAAATTTCATGATAAATTGATATATATTTTTTAACTGTCTTCATTTTAAAAGTTTGAACTGAACCATATTGAAATTTGAGCTGGAAAACGACTTCTTAAATTGTTGATAGTTTTGATCTAATTATTACATGCGAAATTG